TATTTATGACATTTTACGACTTCTGTGAATCAGCATCATCAAATCAAGATTTGCGTTTTTAATATTTTCGTAGCGAATTAACGCTCTTTTGGCGAAAGGTTAAGGCCAAGGCGAAAAGGTTAATGTGTTTCTAAATGCCTTGCTAATTGGCGTGCGGTTTTTTCGCTTTAACAAAAGGGATTCTCCTTCATTGAAACGGAAAGGTAAAATGATTTTAATAGAAACTTAATAAAGTTTCTAGAGTATTTGTAGGTCAGTTTAAAAAGATGAGATCAAACTTTGGCTATCGAATAAAATCACAAAATCATAAGCTTTTGATTGCCAAAGAGTGAAAGTACAAGCTTAAACTAATTATTTTGAGAGCTTTAAATAGCAGCCTAAAAATTTAACTATTTTCTTTTTATATTTTCTGTAAAAATAAGTTCTACAACTTTGTTTATCTTAACTCTTAGCCCTTCTTGTCGCCAGACTGTTGACTTCTTGCTTGATTACCAGCTATTTACGCCGTCTTAGACAGCCAAGAAAGTTATTTCCAAATATAAATCGGAGATATCTCCGCCCGTCCAAAAATAAGCCACTTCCTAGTTTGCATCTAAATATGTGGTAATATACACCTCCAGCAGTGGCCATTAGCTTACTAGTCGCTTCATTACAAGGCCATTAAGGCTAAGATGCCACCAGACCATGATGATGAGCATGCTGATGCTGAATGCTGATGCCACAGGCAAATATTTTGATCGGCTCTTGTAATTTGATGCGCAATAAATCGGTGTTTCCCACCTACAAATAGTAGAAAGAAACAGAGGCGGGTGAAAATACACACATTCGAATATATATCTAAGTCTAACGAAAAATAACAAAATAAGAGAGCCAAAGTTCGAGCCAAACATTTTCATTAAACGAACTGGACAACGCATAACACCCACAACTTCGATGCTGTTTGCATGCTCATAAGAAGCGGGCTCATAATTCATTGAGCCAATAAGCTTCAAGCCAAATGGCCAGCCGTTTGGTTGGGCCAAGTTAATAAGAAACAAGATGCCCGAAAAAAAAAGCTGAATGAAATATTCGGGTCTTTGCCTTAACAATTTTCGCACAAGTGCGAAGTGCCACACAGCCAACGACACATCGGGATTATAAAATCTCAGATCTCGCTTATAAATACCCCACTAACCGAAAGCCCAAACCTTCGAAATATTCGAGCTGACGAATTTCGCGCTGTGACTTCTTTTTCTCATACTTAAATTTGCATCTGTCCCCGAAAACAATAATAATAAAAAAAAAAATGAGATATGCATTCCTCGTCTAATTAGTGAACTCTCTGATCACTGACATGGGAATTTGTCTCGAAACTTATTGGCAGTAAAGGTAATTAGCACTGCTGGCAAATATAAAGAACAGGTGTCCTATGGCTTGTGATTATAACCAAATCGAACAAGATTTTGTTTAAACTTTTCGATAAAAAAGAAATAAAGGATGTTAAGAGAAAAGAGCGTTTAGGTGCGAAGTTCTAGAAGTTATGAAGATTTATCCGGATTTGGAAAAAAACCCAAAGAGCAAATAATGATCTAGTTCCGGTATTGCAGATTTCGTCTTCAATTCAATTTACACATTCTATATAATTATGGCATACCTTCAGAGGTCTCAGTTAAATAAGCTATATTTAGAGCTATGACAAGTTAATAATGACATTAGGAGTTTGATTTGTAAACTTTATTTGTATTTTGTCTGAATATTCTATCTTATAAGAGATCTAAGCAATATTTATATTTTATGTAAGAAAACATTCCTCTTCAGTTTTCCCTATGCATATGATAACGATGATCTTTCAGCATCGGATAACGCCCCCACCTGGCAAACTAATCAACTCAGCTTGAAGTGCAACTGCTTGTAGGCAGCTGGCCATCCAGTTAGCCAAGTTAACCAAGTTCAGGAGCCAATGGCCATATGAATGGCCAATCGGCTGGCCAGTCTTTGCTGGGGCAATCAAGTGAGAAAATTAAAATTACATGACCATGATGGTTTCGACTGCGGATCCAGGGATCCAGGGATCCCACATTTAAAGGTTCATAACTTCCAAGTCAATTACGCGATGCGCCCGCTGCGAAGACTCTCTGGATGTCTGGATGGTGGATATGCTGGATGCTGGTTACTACATTCTGGGATTCCTGGGATGTGAATTAGAAAAATTGCACGCTCAAGTGGAAGGGAGGACCTCTGGTCTGGTTTTTGTGGTCCAGTCCGTTCTGTTCTGTCTGACTGACTGACATAACTCACGAGTGGCAGAAGCAGACGTAGACGCAGAAGCAGACGCAGATACTGATGCAAACAAACACAGATACGGCCTCCGCATTTAACCGCTGCTCCGTTGCAGGTGAACTAGACAAGCAGGAGCAGATCCTCAAGAGCACTCCACAAATAAAAGGGACTACTGTGGGAATCATGCCGATCTGGCCAGAACTGAACAGGAACGGCACAACAGCAACTGGCTCGCCTTCAGCGAATTAATTTGTGACGCGCGCTCTCCACGGAGGAGCACATCCCTACCCCCTCTTGTCTGAAATACCCAGAGATCCCCATACCCATCTTCATCTTTAGCCAACCCAGTCCAGTTCCAGGTTCCCAGTTGCAGTCGAGGAGCCATGGCCTGGAGGCAATTTACTCTCTTTGCTTGGTGGTGCACGCTGTGGTAGCCAAAATCGTGACTGCAACAATGTACAGTGGTTTGTTATGGTTAATTGGGAAAAATGAAAAACTGCACAAGTTCCAAGCTGCTTTATGTAGGACCACAGCCACTCTTAGAAATGGTTGGCAGATGGTGACATTTTTTTGCATTAAATGGTGTTTTTTGGAAGCAAAAATCTAAGTTCAAGTTCAATTAAAGTTCCTTAAATAATCAATAGTTATGAGATTGTTAAACTATCATTAAGTAAACCATAAAAAACTTTATTTAAAATAAATTTTCTACAACTTTAAAAGGTTTTAGATTGAGAATTTCCGGTCTGATTTTCATAGAAATATCAAGCAAAGTCACATTTTCAATGTAATCTTTAACCACTGTACCATCAGCTTGCTCGTCTTCGTCATCGTCGTGTGGCAAGTGGCTGCTGCTTGACTGCAGTTGCAGTTTTTGGCCTCTGCTCGAGCTTGATCTGCCTGAGCTTCTTCTGTGGCTCCCTCTTCGGAACCCGTGACTTCTGGTGGACCATTGCCTTCTTCATCTTAGCTGCCTTTTTGGGGGCATCATCTTGGCTGGCGGCTTTGGCGCTGGTGTCAAACGTTTTGTAATCTGTCACGTCGCATCGTTTTAATATTTGTGCGCTCATGGCCCAAGTACGAGGAAATGCACTCGGCTGCGTGTAAAAATAGGCGTAACCCTTTGGTATTTATGGTCTGGCCGGCACTGGATGAGCCGACTCCAAAGTCGTCGTTTTTTTTTTTAGCTGTCTAAAGTCTACTAAAGTCTACTGCACTGTAGCACAGTGAAGCATCCGCAACGGCGCTCCCCGAGATCGTTTTGTTTGGTTTTCACCAGCAGAATCAGATGCCTTCGAGGTCTCTTCGTCGTGGTGGTAGCAACAGGTTCAAGTGCTTCGCATTGCAGAGTGTTGGTCTGATGGCCGCCTCATGGCCCGGCTCCTTGGTTTCCAGCTCCGCTCTTTGATTATCTAAATCATTATTAGTTTGACCTTCAGCCCCGGGCTGGATTTGCGCTCGTGCAAGTGCTTTTCTTATCTTATTAATTATTTGCTCTTTATTGCAAGTGGAATGGGTTCGGTGGACTACTGTGCGTATGAGTCATCTGAGAAATGCCGATGTGAGAGAGTGGGGGAAAAGTAAGAGAAGTGGAGTCTTAGAAAGTTAGTGTAAGGGGGAGAAAAAAAGGTAATTGAAAATGCAAAGATATATACCTTTATTTTAAGGATGGTAATGGGAGATAGAGTATGTAAAAGAACTACTACAGTAAAGAGTAAAACTTAATAGTTTTACTAACTGAAATTGAAAAAGAAAAACAAAAAACCAAAAGACTTTTTGACATTGATCCTCTGATCTCTACCCAACCTTTATATAGAATATTTTTCATGTAATTTTATATATTAAGAAAATTAAACATCAGAATGAAGATTGAAGAAGATCAGGAACCAGAACCTCACAAATCAACACAAAAAATAAACCTTGCTGACATCTTGTTATTCTCAGAGATCCTTCAACTTGTTCCGTTATATTTAGCCAACGCTAATAACCACTTTCGCGAAGACCACCCGAGCATTGACCCAGTGAACGGGCTTAAAAAAGCGAAAATTCCGGCTTATTCAAATTCAATTCCCACCAGATGTCCGTGGTTGCCCATACAGCACGCATCTCAGCGAGTCAACCCTACTCAAAAGCCATAACCATGTCGGTGATGCGAAACTCAAAGATACAGTAGTTAGCCATTACAATGTCTGGACAACCGTTAATCAGGCGCCGCAAATCAGATGAGAGCATATCTAGGGGGATTTCCCCCTGCTCTCTTCTGATTGGATGATCAACAGAATGGGATCTGCTATATTTAGATAAGAGTGAGGCAGAGAGAAAATGGCGATGCAGACTTTGTGATTTTCCATTCACTCGCCGGTTTCGTGATGGCAGCCGCTCTTCCCATGACTGCTCCTTTGTCTCTGCGCGAAAATATTGACACGATCGAGCCCCATATTTTGCACGCTCATGAGAATGGATCGATCTAAATGTACATGTAAATATATTAGTAAATCATTAATGTATCCGTAAAGTGCCCCAATTGCCGCCGTAGGATGCGTGGGTGGGATCGTGTTGGAGTGTTAATTGCCCCAGACTCAATCAGGTGGAATGGAATATTTATAAGGTTGGGCAATCGATTAGACAAAGTCCATCCATATATCATACTCATATCAATTGTCGGTGCTAATTGAGTTCGAGACTGCGAAAAGAACTGGACAAAGGCGGAAGTGATCGTGACTGCCGAAAAATATGTGGTATCCCAACAGATGTAAACGTATCTGTGAATGTGTAACGTAATTGAATACATAATACTAGGAAAGAAAAACATTATTTGAGTGATAAACTACAGAAACTTACTTAAGTTTGTATCTCAGATATCCATAAGTCTAAGAAGATAAGACATCTGAGTAAACTTTTTAAGTCTTAGCTACCTTCATCTACCTACCTTTACTCTTCATCTTTTCATTTAACAAATCTATCTGTTAACTTCAACTTTCAAATATCTATACCCTCTCTATATCTTTCAGATGATCCTTCAACAATCATCCAAACTTCTAATACTTCTTCTATTCCTTGCTATCTCTTCAAAAATGACTCAAGGTCTAAATAGCATCATAAATGAGCTAAACCAACGTCTTCTGATATCCACAAACTTTTTGTTCTGCAACCGATCTGATATACTAGATGAATACGAGATCAAGTATCTCCGTAAAATGCCACCCATGAACCTGATGATCTTCACTTCCATCAAGTCCTTTAACGTCACTCAACTTGAATACAATTTGGGAGCTACAAACAAGCTCTTCATGATCCTGGGCAATGAAAAACCACCATATGACTTCTTTAATACTTTGGATTTACATTTTCAGCAAGCGGAATTTGTTATGGTAATAGATGATATCTTAGATCTTAAAAGGGACACCAAATGGTCGGACTTTGTAAGATACCTATGGCAGGAAGGTTATGTAAATTTGCTATTTTACACCTCCTATGATGATAAACTATATCACAAAATCATATTTCCGGAGTTGCTGATAGAGGAAGCATCTATTGAAAAGTATATAGCCATTAGAGGATCTTTCAAGGACATTTATGGTTATCCGGTTAAAGTTGCCGCTTATAACAATGCCCCACGCACTATGCTTTATCAGAATCGCTGGGGCAAAAAGGTGTTCGCCGGTTTCTATATGCGATTTATTCGGGCTTTTATAGGCTATAGGAATGGAAGCTTTGTGCCAGTTTTAACGCCAAGTAATTCCCCTGGAAATTGTACACTAAACTTACGCAATGAAACGGTGGATGTATGCGCCGATGCCTTGGCAGCAAACCCAGCGGCATTCAGTTTAACCCATGGATTCAGGATAGCCTCGGCGAATGTTTTGGTGACCCATGCGAAGCCCCTGCACTCCTATCGCTATCTAACAGCTCCATTTCAATGGAGCGTATGGCTTTGTTTGGCCTCATATGTGATCCTGGTGGTGAATTTGCTCAGCTTCATACACTGGTTTAGATGTGGCAAATGGGACTTTAGTAAGCACCTCCTAGAGGTCTTCAGTTCACTTTTATTCAGTGGTTTCTACCTCAAGGAGATTCAGGGAAAAGAAAGATACATACTCTTTGGGGTGCTATTCATAGCTGGATTTGTCTACTCCACCGAGTATCTGGGATTGCTCAAGAGCATGTTGATCTCGGAGGTATTTGAAAAGCAAATTGATACCTTTGAAGCCTTGGTGGATAGTAATATAACCCTGATGGTTGATCCCTATGATAAAACGTTATTCGCCAAGTACAACATGCCTAAGATATTGGAGCCCATCATGGAGCTAGTCAGCTTTGAGACACTCTTGGAACATAGAAATCGCTTCGATCAGGATTATGCTTATATACTGTTCTCAGATCGAATGGCACTCTACGACTATGCTCAGCAGTTTTTAAAGCATCCGAAACTACTAAGGATTCCCATTGACTTCTCGTTCCTTTACACTGGCATCCCAATGCGGAAGAGATGGTTCCTGAAGCATCATTTGGGCCAGGCCTGGTACTGGGCCTTCGAGAGTGGTCTTACGAGGAAACTGGCCTTGGATGCCGACTTCGAGGCGGTTCGCGTGGGCTATCTGAACTTTCTCATCACGGAGCATTTAGAGGCCCAACCACTGGATGTGGATTATTTCGTCATGCCAGCGATTGCTCTGGCCCTCGGCTACATCCTGGCCCTTTTAAGTTTTGTCATCGAGATGACGGCCTGGCGCATAAGGGAATTCTTGGGATGGAAGTTGAATATGGGGATGAGTACCTGTTGTCCAGGAGGCGGTTATGTTGATGTTGATTGAGTGACGGATTGATGTTGTGATGTCTGCTTTGCTTGATTTTTTTTTTTTTACAGTCTTGATGTTGTAAAGTCAGCAAAAAAATAAATTAAAAGTTCCTGAGCCTACTTTCAAAACCGAAAAGGTATTCTACAAACTCTAATTTTAATATTAATACATTTTATAGAATATTTATACTTCTTTAAGATCTTTTTTTATATCTTTCAGATGATGCTAACCGCAAAACTTGCTACATTGATACTTCTACTGACTATTCAAATAGTTATAGTAATGGATCAAAGTTTACCGCACATAATAAATAAGCTTAACGAACACCTGGTCATCTCCACTAACATAATTTTCTGCGAACAAATGGATAAATTTATACCCTTCCGAAGCCACGTCTCCATGTTTATGTACAGTTCTTTGAAAACTTTTAATATTACTAGTCTGGGAACCCATGTTGGAAGTGATAATAAACTTTTTATAGTAATGGGAAACGAACCGCCATATGAACTGCTGAAAAAACTGGAATTAAGCCTTCAGCATGCCGATTTTCTTCTTGTAATCGATAACGAAATCGAAGAAGATAAATGGAAAAAGTTTATAAACTTTGCTTTTCAAATTGGTTATGTGAAAATCTTGATTCATTCGATATATAACGGCATGTCCTATGATAAATTGCTGTTTCCCAAACTAAGGATAAGGAAAACTAATGTCAAAGATTATGCCAACTTTCGGGATACCTTTCATAATGTTAATGGCTATAAAGTTCGAGTGGCTGCTTATAATAATGTACCCAGGAGTTTTATATATTTTGATGAGAATGGAGAGAAGGTATATGGTGGCTATTTTATGCGATTTGCACGAGCTTTTTTGAAGTCCAGAAATGCTACTTTTAAGGCAGTTCATACACCCAATGATTCACCCCTAAATTGTACTAAATTTTTACTAAATAACACAGTGGATCTGTGCGCAGATGCTTTGGTTCGTAATTCCAAAGTTTTTACCGTCTCCAGAGAACTCAGGATTGCCCCGGCCAATGTGATAGTGCCTCATGCTAAGCACTTACTACCTTATCGATATCTAACAGCTCCATTTAAGACCAAAGTATGGTTGGTTTTAGGCATCTATGTTCTCCTGATTGCGGGCTTTCTATGCCTAGTAAACTGGTTAAAGTGTGGCAGATGGGACTTTAGTCACACTTTGCTAGAAGTTTTCAGTTCACTTTTAAATAATGGTTTTCACCTGAAAGCGATTCATGGCAAGGAACGGTATATACTATTTGCCGTTTTATTCATTTGCGGATTTGTTTACTCCACCATGTACTTGGGATTACTGAAGAGCATGCTTATATCGGAGGTATTTGAGAAGCAAATAGAAACCTTTGAGGAACTGGCTGAAAGGAATATACCACTCCTAATCGATTCCTACGATCAGATATTATTTTCCAAGCATTATATCCCAAGATCTCTTCTATCCGTAGCAAGAACTGTGTCTTCAGAGACATTGATCAATCATCGAAATAATTTTGATCAAGACTATGCCTATGTTATGTTTCCCGATCGCCTCGAGATGTTTCAGTATGCTCAGCAATTCCTAAAGCATGGAAAGTTTCGCAGGATACGCTTTGACTTTTGCTTTCTATTTGCTGGATTTCCCATGAGCAAAAAGTGGTTTCTCAAGCATCATCTAAGTAAGGCCTGGTTCCATGGTTTCGAGAGCGGCATAGTGGATAAAATGGCTTGGGATGCATATAGAGAGGCAGTGCGGCATGGTTATCTCAAGTTTCCCATCACAGAGCACGTGGAGGCAAGGCCATTGGGTCTGGATTATTTCCTAATGCCAACGATTTCTTTGGCTTTTGGCTACTCGTTGGCTGTTCTGAGCTTTGGAATTGAAGTTATAGCCGGAAAATGTTGCATCTCTAAGGGTTAATTATTTTATATGGAAAAAAAACAACATATTTTGTCTTTTTGCTATTTCAAGTGGTTTTTTAAGTCTAAATGTTGTGGTTGGTCTAACTTTTATATGTTAAAAATACTTTTAAACATTGAAAAATAAAGAAAACTTAAATCCAAAACTAACTAAAATGTAATTGTTAACAGGAATCTTTCTAGAAGGTGAAATATAAAAACCAAATAGCAGGTAAACTGTGAGTTTTTTGACAATGCTTATCTGGCCAATTTGCCATGCAGCCTCGGGCAGTATCCAAAAACCCACCCACAGGCGACACCCCATTTGAAAACCACGGAATGGAAACCACCCTGTGGCCCCTTTTGGACCCCTTCAAAATAAATAGCACTTGAGATATTTCCAAAACATTTGCCAGCCAAGTCTCTAAGCAATTTGCCCAGCCCATTGTATGCAGTCCGAATGATAACAGAAAAATAAGAATCAGGCCGATATATATGTAAGGGGTGACTGGCTGGCTTACTAGTCTCCCAAAAATGAAGCTGACTTGCACAAATATTTGCCGAAAATGGAATTTTCGGTTTGGTAGAATGGTAGTAGAGTGTGAGGGTGAAATATCGCCCCCAATGAGTGGGTGGGTTTTCTTCCAAGCGGGACATTTTAAAGTTCGTTGACACTCACAGCCTGGCACATTTTTCGTGTGTTATGTCGCTGTGGCGCCATTAAGTATGCAGTAGCAATGTGGCGACAATAAAGTTTATGCCACGGCGCCAAAGCCAAAGCCAAAAAGAGAAGAAGAACAGAATAGGAGTTGCAATAGTCAAGGATAAATAGATGTGCAGGAATGAACGCTGTGGGAGTTGCAACCAAAGACAAGTCAGTTGATCTGAGACACCATCATTAGTTCATCTATAAGATGGCTTAGCTGTGCACACCGAGAAAAGGTTTAGCAAAGAATTGGAAAAAAAAAGTTCGAAACTTGTTAAGAAAATCTCGTAAGACCTTCAAGTAAAGATAAAAAGTGAAAAACGAAATTTATAATAAAAATATTCATTGATTTCTCTGCGTGTGGCACAGTTTTCAGACAATGGATTTGGCAACCAGTTTTAATCCCGGTTTGTAGGACTCCGCTTAATGAGTGGGAGGGTCATGTGCGTGCCTCGCATCCATATCGCACAAAATCAACGATAAACTCTCGCCCTTCAGCCGCTTTAATTGCCCAATTCGTGTGTTTTCAACGCGCCTTGGAATCGAATCGAATCGAACTGAATCGATTTCGTGATTGCTCCGATCCGTATCGGTTTTAAAGTAAACATTTGTTTTAATCTGGGGGCGGCTTTTAATTAAGATTGCGTACGGCGATAAATGGCAAGTGTTGCAGGAGTCCCCCTGAGAAATCCCGCTTCAATTGAGGGTAAGTAAAATGGAACTCAGTCTTTTGCCATCTTCTTAACGTTTATTTTTTGCGTGTCTTTAGGTCATTGAATAAATATTTATTTTATTTGTAATGCTTTAAGAAAAGTTAAAGCAGGTATTTAAATTGAATGTGTGCTCTGTTAAAATAGGTGACTATGGGTAAAAGTTATACTGGAGTAAAAGTTTTGGTTTTAGAAGTTTATTGGCTGATCATTTCTTATGGCTAAGTCATCATAACTTTAAGCTAAACTAAGAACTTTTGTATTTTTGTAATATTTCCCGTTTACCTTTAACTTCCATTGCAAAAGCATCATATTCGCTTTAATCCCTGCTGCACTGCATCACCTCCTTTCACCTGTTACCACACTTTTCCGTACGTCAATTTCAATGCGTCTGCTCTTGATCCGTCAACTCTTTTATCAGCCAGACAGGGCGACACCGTAAATCACCTGGCAAGCAGACAAAAGGCCCTCGACAACAATTGAGAGCTCGGGGACTGGTCCGGCATTGATATCAATATCTGATTGATTCTGCCCCCTCAACCATTTGTATGCTTCTTCACCGGCTAATTGAAATGGCCAGGTAATTGTCGCTGACTTTTTTCTCTTTTGCAGATTGTGCCATTTCCAGGGGTTGGTGGTTGCAAAGTTAAACACTATTATTTAAATCAATGCCGCGCTTCCCTTTTTTTTTAGCCGCCACATCGCCACATATGAGTTGGCAATTTATGGGCCATGCCTAATTGTCCGCACCGAACTTCAAAGTGGCCTCGCTTCTCGATCTTGGCCAAGTCCGTGGAATGCAATTATCGCGCTCCAAGTTATGCTAAGATAAATGGGCCCCAAGTCCGGCACACAGTCGGTGGAAATTGGCAACACTTTCCAGTCGTCGTCGTCGTCGTCGGCCATAAACTAAACAAAACGATCGAGAAAAATATGAAGAAATTTTTGTGTGGCTGTTGGAGGGGGGTGGGAGGGCAGAGGTAAGACGCACACGCAACTGACAATTGGCAATTTTTGGTTGATTCAAGAATTTATGGCAGCAGAAGGGGCGGAGGTGTGTCATATCGTCGGCATGACCAAAAGACCCATATAATGATCGAGGGCATAGGGCTTATAGGAGGATCTGCGAGAAAGGACTTTGAGTTTAGGATGTCCTTTTTTTAATATTGAGTAGGAAAATCGGTTTCTTGACTAGTTATTTGATTGATCTTCCTTTCTTTCAGTTTTTACTTCATCTATTTGATATATCGAAAGAGTATTTCTTAAGCTAAGACAGTTAGCTTTTCCACAAATTCATTAAAAAACTTTTTAAAAATTATTTTATGAACTCCAAAGTATGGTCACCTTAGGGTATTTATTTAAATAAGTATAAATTAACAGTTTTTTTTTTAATTCCGTTACAATTTTAAAGAAATATTTCAAAATAATTGTACAATTATTTTAATTTGGTTGCTTAAAAGCAACACCATTCCATCTCCATCCCCAATCAACTCTTTATATTTCCTGGAAAAAGCCTCCTGCAGTTAGTAATCGAATGAAGAGATCTTTGGCGGACATCCCCTGGAGCATTTGATGGCACTTTCGCTGGATGCCATTTGGTCATGTCTTTGGGTCAGTCAGACGCTAAAAATAAAGAGTGAATAAAGGAAGCAAATCGAACCGTCGTCCAAGCAGCCGCGAAATGAAACGCTGTCCAATTAAGCGCAACAAACAACTTTACGCCACATGCCACACACACGCAAACAACAGGCGTTTATCGGGCAGTCTGATCAGATCCCAAACCGATCGATTCGATCCTTGGTTACCGATCCTGTCCCTGAACCACAACCCCAGCCTTCTCCTCCAGTTCCATCACCCAATGGCCATTGTAATGACCAACGATTTATCGCTGTCCGAGCCTCCAGTCCCTGGGCCATAATGACAATCGTTGATCGTGCGGCCGCGATAAGATTGCACAAAGATAAAGCGCCGATATCGGAACCCGAGGGTTAAAAAGAATGGGCGATGGGCGGAGGCGACAGCAGGAGCATTTATGCTAATAAGTTGACATTTGACCACCATGACGAAATAATGAAACGATCAGGAGCCGTCAACGTGACAGGTACTTCAAAAAAAAAATATCTACAATGGGACAAAAAAGCATAAAATGCATGTAAATATAAAATGGAAAGTTTAATATATAATATTATATATCAAAAGGTTGCCAAGTTGTTTCTAATTGAAGTATAAACTAGTTTTTTCGATTAAGCCAGGTTCTTTCTAAAGTACCTCTAGTAAAAGCTACTTCCCCAAAATATTTTAAATTTTACAAGGTAAAAAACTGAAATATAAGTTTTAAATTTCAGCCACTGTAAAATATAAAACATTTTCCCGGACAATCTTGACATTTGCTTTGACACAGGGAGCAGACCCGCCGGCACCGCTTACCATGATGATCGCTAATTTCCAGGAATTTCACGGTCTCTTCTCGCTTATCGAGATGCAAATTTTTCTTAACTTTTATTGTATCTTCACACGATCTGTGCCGACTACTGCTTGTTAACTACCATTATCTTGGTTTATATGGTGTGTGCCTCAACTTGATCTTGTTGCAAATGAATTTTAATTGTTGTTACAGTTAATTAACAATAATTTACAAATTGCTTACCACGGCATTGGAAATTTATTAAAAACTAGGGCTTTCTACAAAGTACAACAAATTTGAACTAAATTTATGCAACCTAGTACTCATCGTTGTAATGACGACTGTTGTTGCTTCTTCTTGAATCGTCTCTTTGATAGTCTTTTTGATAATAAGTCTGTTGATAGCCTCTGGAATATGGATGATAGCTGCCGGTTGTTCTGTTGCTTTGAAATCTGTCCTGACGATGTTCACGTTCCTGTCCATAGTTGCGAGAATAATGGTGATTATGATTATAAGAATTATAGTCTTCTCTAGAGTATTTTCGAGAATCCCTATCAGAGCTGCCATGCAGGTTGCTTTCGTGAAAGCCTCGATTGTTCTGATATTTCCAGATGTGGTCTCTTGATTGGTAGCGCTCCGGAAAGTAGTTACTTGAATGTCCCTTAATTTTGTAAGAGCTTCGATAATTTTGGTCCCCTGAAATGTAAGCATATTCGTATTCTTCTTTTTTATCCTTGTTTATCTAATAATTTTTAATTAAATTCAAAGATTTGTTTAAAATTAAGATAATTTGTATTTCATATGATTTTCATGATGTTCATGAAAAATATAAAACTTAAATCAACTTACATTGTTTAATTACTTACTAAAGTCGGTTTTTTGTTGATAGCCTTGACTCCTTTGGTGATCATAAGCTAACTGCCGCCAATCTTGATATTCGTTTCTAGATTGGTGCCTGCTACTAGATCCATATCCTGTGTTCTTTACACTTAAGTCATTTGAAAGAGAACGTTCCTTTTTAGTCTCATGACGCGGGGAGAGATTCTTCAGGGATATTAAGTAATTGTTGCGCTCGATTTTATGTCCACGTGCCGCTGAAAAGGCTGCGGATCATAGGGTAGGATATGAATAATAAAACTAATTAAGTAGGATCGTTTCTTGGATCCAACGCACTATTTATCGCCTCCTCGGGAGAGCTCTTCATTACGGAGATCATGAAGAAACAGATCATGTATCCAGTTCGATTTACTCCGTGCGTGCAGTGGACTCCTATTAATTTGTCTGCAAGATGAAAGAGAATATTTTAAAATTAAATTGAATATCACTTAATAACTTAAGTAGGATGTTATTAATAGCCTTTTTAGCAAGAAAAACGTTCAGATTGCTAGCAATTTTTGGTGACATTTTTACCCCTTTAAAAGCGGTGCCACAGCCTGTTTACTTTGCAATGCCGCATGTTGCTGCAAATTGCTACAAATTTCATTGCAAACACGACCACAGGAATTTCCCTCTCCCCAGGTTCAAAGCCTCCAAATCCCGGCTCCACGCCCATTTGGTAACACCCACGCGGCGAGACCGCAACACAAAAACCGGCCTGGCAATTTGGCATAAAAGCAGAAGCGACCTGAGCTAAATCTAGAAAACAGCGCACTCTGCCAATAATAACATTGGCTATAAATTTCACAAAAACATGTCAGCAGGAGGGATTCACGAGGGGTTTTTCGGGAGAGGAGTGGAGTAGAGAGCATGGACAACCCACCAGGTCGCGTTGGCCTGCCTTTGTGCACTATATGCGGGTGCCTTGGATTTCGGTTCGGGTATGAGTTTTTGGCTTGACTTTGGCTTTGGCCTGGTTGTTGGACTTCGTGGTCATTGGCAGCGGGCGAAGCTGCCAGTCAGTCAGTACGTCATGTTTGGCTTGCATTTAAGCCAACTTACAGGCAAAACGAAAAACGAAATGAAATTACGAGAACGCGCGACGCATCCTTGTCGATATGCCAATGAACAGTGGGTTAAATTGATTATCTTCAACGAAAATTCTGTAGTTTAAGCATAAGACATCTTAATCTTAACTTAAATTAAATCTTAATGCTTGCTAACGTTTAATTTGAAATTATTCCACCTGTTTTTTTCGGATATTTAAATTTTCTGCATATTGTTGCAGCTAGAAAACTTACTAATCATAATAAAATAAAACCACTGTGCTGAGAAAACGACTTTGCCTTGTTTTTGAGCCTCTCTGAGCCTCATTGGCCGTTGACAAGTTGCGACCACCTTGGATTTGACTTATTTTTCTGATTTGTTTCGTTGTAAATATGTTGGCAGCCATCGTGTATTTATTTATTGTATGTTTTACGCGACTTTCCGCGGCGCCAGATCGTGTTTTAATTAAGCCCTAAGAACGCATCAGAATCTGCTTAGGCATTCTTAGCCTGCATTTTTGCATATTGTAAGCCAAATTGGTTCGCACATACATTAGCGCTAGATGAAAGTACCTGCGAAACATTAGGCGGATATGCGCCCACATATGAATGGAACTTGAGTGGCAGATGAAACCATGGATACACTAACATTTAAAATTAATAAATTAATTATTATTATATTAAAATAAAAATGTCAGTTTCAGCAACACACCTTCAGGTGTACAGGCAGAAAAACATAGCAATATAAGTGCATTCAAATACTCTAACCATGGCTACTAAAGATCCTAATCTTAATCCTTCACTATCAGCTTTTCTCTCAGTATAGAATGCATCTTTCCATTCTGAAAATATAAATGAAAAGCGACTTGCGGATGGCTTTGCATGCCTTTGTGCATAATTGGAATTTCCATAGCCCTTTTCCCCACTCGCGTCATGACTAAGCTCCGTGCTCTGTAAGTGATTTGTTTGCCCGGCTCCCGACTGGCAGACAGCCCCAGCCTCGGGATCTCCTCAAAGGCTGACTGACTGACTGACTGATTGAGTGTGTGCGCGCCCACATTGGTGCGCCAGTTGGTTGTAAACGGGTTAAATAGAGTATTTCTCTTGCCCAGGCACTTGGCTGCGAGCACATTTCACAGCTTTGTGAAATGTTTGTTGTGCGCTTGCCGGCTGATAGGAATCTCTGAAGGCAGTGCAGCCAGCGATTAGGATATACGTGGTAATTGCGGGTGCCCCCCTTTTGATACGATTTGTGTGCATATTTTGCGGCTCTAATTGTGTGGACAGATATGCATCTGAATCTGCATTGTTGACGGGAAAGCGTTTCCCACGGCAACGTGGCTTAGAGATCATGATGTGTGGGTTGATTTGTCAGCACTCACCATTATCCGCATTGCTTTCAAGGAAGTCAGCCACAAAACGACAGAATCTGTAATATTATCAGAGAAATATTAATCATTTGAAATAGCTAAAAGTAACTTAAAGTAAATAAAAAGCAATTACTGCGCTTAAAACGTTTCATAGCGTCTATCGACTGAAAACAATCATATTAGCATTAAATAATTTAAAAAGAAAGCCAATTCCTTTTTTCTTTAATTTTTGATATAATAATTACTTTTCAGCGAGTTTAGGTGCAGGCGTACTTTTTCCAGGTATCATCAGCTTCTGGTGACGTACATTATGGTTAGTTAGATCACTTGGTTTATAGTATTTGTTTGTGTTGGTGAGATCGATTATAAGACCAAGATTGGGGACAGATTCCAGCAGGGATTCGGGCGCCAGGCGGAGATTCTCCGCCACTCTGGCGTTGACATGCTGAAAAGCAAAGAGCAGAGCAAATACACGATGCTCATATTACAATGGTAGGCTAAAAATTGCTCAATTTATGCGAAATGACCAGAGGGCAGGCAATTAATAAGGGCCGAGGATCCGTGGCGTTATTTAATTAAGCAAAAACAATTTAATTTAATATTCATGTGGGGTCCATGTTCCAGTTGCCACTTTTATGCATAATTATAATGCACAAATTTCGTCGTCGTCCGTTGTTATTTATATACAATATGTATATTTTTAGAGGGCCGCGCAAAGTCGGTGGTCCTGGGTTTTCAACATCCATCAATTGGCCCTCCCATCAACCGGTTTTTTGGATCTCGGGATCTGATTGGATGGGGGGCATATGTATTATAAACTCACCTGAGCAAGCGGCACCTTGAATGCAATAAAGCGAGTACCGGGAATACGTTCTCCAATCGGTTTGTACTGCAGCCATCTGTAATTGGCGGAATGAACATAAACAAACCGAAAAACTAATGATTTTCTCCAAGACAATCCGCCATCTAATATCCTTGGAGAACACTCACCTATCTGGTATCGACATTATATAGTATGTTTTCCAAGCGATTTTACCGATTTTACAACCGAAAATGTTCGAATTTGTTTAAAATTTGTAACAATGCGACGTAATAAAATGTTTTTTAGGCGTTGCCAGATCGGCCAAAGTTATCATATGGTATAGAGATGGCACAGTCACTAAAATGTTACTGGTCACGGTTATTTTTAGGGTTCGGAATAATGAATTATTTAATAAACTTTTTTTAACCAATGTCTAGTTAGATAGATATTAACAATTAATTTCAATAAGTTAGTTTCTAGTTCGACTTGCCTAAACCAAAAAAATTTAAGTTTAACAATTAAAACTTGACTGGAAATAATATTATTTTCAAGATAACCACATTTTAAGCTTAAGTGCTGTTTACTGTTACCATACTGTTAGCCGCATACAGTAATAACAGCTGCCATGTGTTAAATAACAGCTGTTGATTGGCTAAAAGGTCCAAAAAAACGGCAAACGCTTGAATCAGCGGAAAACCTTTGGACTTTCTGTGATTTTGTAGCCGAGGTAAGAGTTTTAATTAAATATTAATGGACTATAATTAATCAAACAACTTTTCTACCTCCCTTGGTTAGCTCCTTTAAATATCTAATTACCCAAAATGTTCGCCAGCAACACGCGTAATTTGATGCGCAGCAGCCTCGTAAGTTGTAAAATACTTAAAAAGATAAAAAAAAAAGCGCAGGCGCTAGTGGCTGAAAATTAAATAACAACTGATATAAACCTATCATTTTGCAGCTGCAGCGATGCAAGAGCACTTTGGTGGTAGCCGAACATAATAATGAGGCTCTTAATCCGATCACCTTGAACACTATATCCGCGGCAAAGAAGATCGGTGGTGACGTCACAGTTCTGGTGGCAGGCACAAAATGCGGTCCCGTAAGTCTCAAAAAGTCTCACGTTAGGGTGGTTCCATAAGGAAGGTTGTGAAAAACCAAGAAAGTTTACAAGCTTTTGGCTTAATATCGTGTTAGTTACTAAATTTTTTAGAGTGCGATCATAGGATTTTTGTGATCAAATTTTCAGATACCGGCAAAATGTTATATAAACTGAAAAAAATTGAACCACCCTAATGTAGTTATAATATTTATTAGAAGACATCCTATCATCACTACTATCTTCTTTTCTAGGCTTCTGAGGCCCTTTCCAAAGTAGAAGGCGTGAGCAAAGTCCTGGTGGCCGAGAATGCTGCTTTCAACGGTTTCACGGCGGAATCACTGACTCCTTTGGTCTTGGCCGCACAATCTCAATTCAAGTTCACCCACATCCTGGCCGGAGCTTCGGCTTTTGGCAAGAATGTACTGCCGCGCGTGGCTGCCAAATTGGATGTGTCGCCCATATCCGAAATCATTGATGTCAAATCGGAGGACACTTTTGTGCGTACCATCTACGCCGGAAATGCCATCCTTACCCTGAAATCCAAGGATGCTGTCAAGGTGATCACTGTGAGGAGCACAAACTTCCCACCTGCAGCCACCAGCGGAGGAAGTGGAGCTGTGGAGCAGGCTCCAGCTGGAGAGTACGCTAGCAGCCTGTCTGAATTCGTTTCCCAGGAACTGACCAAATCCGATCGTCCAGAGCTGGCCGGAGCCAAGGTTATCGTTTCGGGAGGAAGGGGATTGAAGTCCGGAGATAACTTCAAGCTGTTGTACGATCTGGCCGATAAGTTTGGAGCTGCTGTTGGTGCTTCTCGTGCTGCTGTGGATGCTGGCTTTGTGCCTAATGATCTGCAGATCGGTCAAACCGGAAAGATTGTGGCTCCTGAGCTGTACATCGCTGTTGGCATCTCCGGTGCCATCCAGCACTTGGCTGGCATGAAGGACTCCAAGACAATTGTTGCGATCAACAAGGATCCCGAGGCTCCCATCTTCCAGGTCGCCGATATTGGAATCGTTGCTGATCTTTTCAAGGCTGTGCCCGAACTAACTGGAAAGTTGTAAGGCGAGATTGTCAAGTGTTGTAGTATAAAGATTATGTACCATTGAATTGATAACAGTTGCATTTATTTGAATTTCTAAACGAGTCCATGGAAGATTTTCCTCTCAAATTTTGTAATAAAAACAAACCGAAGACCTATTCTATGTGAAGATTAAACAGTCTTGTCAGTTGAAAGGGATTGTGCAGCTGTCGGAGGTGAGACTTATGTCCATTAATAATTGAAGATAAACTTAATAATAATTTTATCAGGATAAGATATATTAATCATTGACTGTTAAAGGGATACTTAAACAAAGTTGATTACTTTGCGTTATCAAGATCGTATCTAATCAAATGTTTACTCTTTAGAAGCTTTTAATAAAAGCTAAACTGATTAAGCTAATAAGCCTGAAAAGCTATTCAGGGGCAAACAAAAGCCAAAAGCACTGAAAAGCTTACTTTCCCTATTCAAAACAAATAAATTTAATAAAATTTACTATTCCGTTAATAAGCTGAAACGCTATATCTTCAGTTCGTAAATCGTTGGTATATTTTCGGTATAATCATGTTAATTATAAATCGCAAAACCATAAAAACTAAAATTAAGCCAAACACTACGCCTATAACCAGAGTGGTCCACTCTAATGGATTCAGGCTGTTGGTAGTAGGTAAAACATGAGTGTTGATGCCGCTCTAAAAGTTTAAATATTGAAATTAGTTTATTATTTCATAAAGAATTACTAGATAAACCTACCCAACCACCATTTTCATTTATCCAAGGCACCAGCTCATCCTCGATCACCTCCGATACGCTCTCCATTAACTTGGGCAGGTATTCCGGATGTCCTTGGCGTACACAATCGACGGATAGCCCTCCGGCAATGGCAAACAATGAGATCACCTTACTCCATGTGATCTCCACCCGGAAGAGCTCACGACCGACAGCTCCTAGAAGCAAACTTACAGCATCCGGAGTATGGAATTCACCACCAGGATTTCGGCAAATCTGACGAGCCACCCCGTTGTAAACACGCGGATGCATACGCTCCAGTTCATCGCCCAGCTAAAGAAAAGTTTATTACATTTTTTATTTAAATATTTTTGAATGTTTTCTACCACTTGAACCGCTGGAAAAACATCACGTACAATGCCCATGGAGGTGGAACCAAGAATGCTACGAATGCGCTGCAGTCCTAACTTTTTGTTGAACAAACCTGATCTTCTCAGACGTCGCTTGATATAGTGACCACATAGGCAACGACCCTTTAGAATGATAATACTTTGATTAGATTGGGATTACATCTTCAGGTTTATATATCCATTTATTAGACTACCAATCCACCTGCGTAATGATATCCTGCGCTGGAATCTGTGCTGCCTTCCAGCCAATCGTATAGGACAGTTTTCGGGTCACAGCATCGCTTACATTGCTCAATCTCCGCCTGGTGGTCTCTTTAGGGCCACCGCCCACCTCCAAAAGTGATGCGGAATGCAGGGTGGCCGGAAAACTGAATTTTCTTCGATTCTGAGCCTGCAACAGACGCTCACTTTGTGTGGTGGCCATGGGAAATCCGTTGCTGAAATTATCATTATTCGTGGGATACGAGGTGCCGGGCATGTTCGAGATCCTAAAGGAAATCGCTTATAAGTTATGGCAAGAGGTGGCAAGACTTAATTCAGCTTAAAGTTAGTTGAAGATCCAGTTATGATAGTTTAGCGATCCCCCACGATGTGTGTAATATAACATAGTGCCTTGTTAATTCAATTAATTGCATTCAATTTGGCAAATCTTCCGCTGGGAATAATAACCAGCTGCTACTCAAACCAGTCTTCTCGCAGTTACATCAAAAATAATTGGCTCAATACATAAATGTCATGTTTAGCTGATTGAAACGCCATAAATGTAACCTTAAAGTCCAGTGAATGAACTCTGAAATCAGATTATAAGTAAAGAGAACTCTTCCCACGTGTAAAAGAGTTTACAGGTGCACAGAGGAAAACTATTTATTAACTGGTCATTTTTCTACAGATTTGATATCAAATATATCAAGTTTCCTACTTTTTTAAAGATTTTTATTTTTTAATTTTGAAATAATTTAGGAACTTAAGAATGATGTTTTCTCTCTGTTTAGTTTCCATTATGACGCTCCACGATGACTGTTTGTTTGAGCCTGCCCAAAATGGTCACATTAACGGACAGATTGTCGGCTCGTTAGGTTTGATTGGATTCTGGCTAACAGCGATCAGAAATCCGCAATATGGCCAAAATGCTGCTGTGTCGCAGCTGTGTTGTCATTAGTTGTCCACAAGCGAGATGTCAAATGGCAAATGATTTGTGGGACAATGTGGCCGCAGAGGCAAGTGAATCGAAGATGGAACCGAACTTGGATCAATGGCTATTGGTGACTTTTTCCCCGGAGAGCACTTCGCAATTAGCTTTACATAACCTGACCCACTCGCAAGGCATTCCGTGACCAAGGAAAGTCACTTGGTACAACGAAGTCGTGTGGAACTTTTTTTTTGGTAGGAGTACTCGACCATTAAAAGTGATAGCTGAGAAAGTGCGAGCTTCCAGAATAATTTGGACTCAAATTAATCCAGGTCATAGGAGTCACGCCTTAGGCTACCAGCCTGAAGCTTATAAAAACACTATCATTTGGGTCTCGATCAGTCAGTTATTGGTCAAAATGTCAAGCAAGCGGATCTTGGCCCTTTTGGGATTGCTAACTATCCAGAAAACTTACGCGGATGTGTCTCATTTTTTTGCCTCACCACTGGAACAATATGGAAACTATCTTCATGGACAAGTCCCTTTTCAAGTGGGACTATCACCTCCTAACTTGTATGGACCTCCTCCTGCAGCACCTGTTACTCCAGCACCAGTGGCTCCTGTATCCACCACTGAGTTTAGTCTGCCGGAGATTATCGAAAATCGCAGTGTCAAGTTTCAGGGATCTAGGCAGGGAAGCTTTATACCTATAAGCCAGCATTATATACCGCCTGCTGTGGAGGAACGTCCCAACTACGAAAGTCCCAAGCCTAGGTGGGTTTTAACTTTTAATACGCAGTATGTCCAAATCCCTTGCCCATTTAATAATTACCAATCTTCTTTAATAGCGAGGACCCCTATCCAGCTTATTACTATCCCCAACCGCCTGCAGGGAGCATCATTACCACCTCTCTACCCACAACAACCACCACTCCAAGACCAATCGTGGTACAAGATCCTGGAGAGGATATTGAGACGATACATTCTCCGGGCTACGATTACCATGCCCCAGTGGCTGTTCCCGTATTCCCTCAGAAACCCTCCACACCAGCTCCAGTTTACCTGCCACCCAGTGAAATAATCCAGGATCAAAATCAACTGAGACTTCGAATCAAGGACATGCGATGCCTTTCGGCAGGTTATTTCCGAGCTGTTCTTAAACTGGACAGCTTTTTGGGAGCAGCACCCACTATGGATCAGGATAACGATGATCAGCTGGACAAGCGCTGCGAAATGAAACTATCTCGAAGTTTTCTACTCTTGGATATTTCTGGCGAGGACTTCGAACGATGCGGTGTGAAAACCTGTGGACAGGATCTATGTCTACGCCTACGATTTCCAGCCATCAGAGGGTTAAGAACCAGTGGAGATTCAATCTTAACACTACATTGCAAAACTCAAGAAAGAGTGGCTGTCAAAACACATGCCTTGAAAATGGGAGTGGCTAATGATGTGTAGGATGGTATTAGCTTGGAAAATTGGAAGGTTGTTTAATTTATTTTTTTTGTTTTTAGTCAAGCTCGCAGTGGTGGCAGCTACGCCCATGGTGGAAATCAGAACGCCTTCCGGACTCACGTGGAATTATTGAGAAAAGGAAGTGCTGGTTATACTAGACACTTGGAAAGCAATGGAGCTGTTCAGTTGGGCGAGGAACTTCTATTGAGGGCTCATGTTCTAGCAGGAGATGGTAAGTCATTTAAAGATATTAAATTACCAAGTTTAAAGATTAATCTTGTTATCCCTCAGGTTGGAACTACACCAAACTCAGTGATGTCCAGCTACAGAGGATTGCAGGAGGAGGAGAAGTACTCAATACGGTTCAGTTGGTCAGCTCGAGGGGCTGTCTAAATCCCGCCATGCAGGCAATCTGCGCCCATGCCCCCATTTCCGAACCTCCTCTTGGCCAGCGACTCCACTTCAAGGCTGTGATGTTTCCAGGAATGCGTAGTGGCGAAGTTTTGGTAATGTCCATGCGCATTACTGGCTGTTTGGAACGTGAAGATTGCCAGGTGACAGCCCAAGATTGTTTGCCATCGGTGGGTCAAAGGAGGCGACGGAATGTTTCTTACGGAAATAGCACTGAAGTTTCGGAACTCTCTCATCTAACGTTTAGGGTTATGATGCCCGATGAAGAGGTTATATCTTCAAAGGAGGGAGATATAGATAGTGGCGGTTCCGGGGTTAGAGAGGTTTCTAAATCGCTGGCTCTCTTTGGCAGCTTGGGATTTGTGGTAATGCTTTTGGGTGTTGCTGTAGTGGCTTTGTATAAATTTGGGAAATAGTTTTGGCAGATCTTAACTTTAACTTAACTGCCTTTCAATTTTTCGTTTGACTTCTACAGATTCTAACTAGACAATGGTGTAAGGTTTTTATTATTTTCACATTAATTTGTTTTTTTAAAATAGATAGTTGTAACCCTTATAGCAAATTTTGAGTAAAAATATACTTTCATTTACTTTAAAAACATTTAGAAGATAGTTAAAACATATATTTGTTACAAATTTTTAATTTCACTTCCAACTTAACTAGCCAAATACTCTTTTCCAAAGTACTCTTACATACACTCCATCAATATCTAACTATCTGAGGCGCCAATCTGAACCTGTCTTTTAACCATCTGTCTGCCAAGCAAATTGACTTATCGCCCTGGTGGTATCAGCAACTAGCCAATGTTTTGCCCATTTCGAGTATAAAACAGAAATTAGCACTTAATAAAATCTTATTTATGTTCATGTCGCTTGTAATTGACCAGGCCTGAGAATAAAATAAAACTAAAAACAAATTTAGGAAAACTAAATAGCAACCAGTAGGCAGCAAACGAAGTGACTTCCAAACTGCGCGCGCAATTCGCAAATTGCGATCTGTGATTTTGGTTTTGGCCAGATAGTCTGAAACTGAAATTTTATCACGTTTTCACGCTTCGAGCGCGGCTAATGAAACCTGGCTGGTTGACTGACAATTTTTGGCTTTGTTATTTGGTGCAATTTGTTGTCGGTTTTCGTATATGATAATCCATCCATCTGGTTGGCTGACAGTTTACGCTTAATGGGCATGAAAATCGCAGCCAATTAGCCCGTTGATTTTAAGCCGCTTTTGCTCAATGGGTGGTCAAAGAGTCTAGGATTACATTTTAATTACTCACTGGGGCTTTGAAAAGATACTTTGGTATTTTGGAATTCGGTTGTTGTTTGGGTTTTCTAATAGAAATGGCACATTTTGTTTTTATTTAAGCCCTTAGGTTGTTATTAAAATGTGTATTTCCTAGAATATTTTCACAGTTTTAAGCTTAGAAAGTAAAAAATTGTCATATAGAAGTTAAGACATATTTTAACGATCTAATAATTACAGTTTTAGCTGCAAAATACACTATATTTTATAATAATTTACAACTAGAAGCTCTCTAAAAAGTGCACAATTTCAAGTTACAACTTTAAATGACTTTAAAAATAATTATCAACTGGTTTTGTTTTTCAAATTTATGTCACCGATAATTGAAATATTTCAAAATGACTTTCTGTTTACAGCAAAAATTTAGCTTTTTTTGTTGATTTTTCGCTGACCTAACCCAAGCGTAAAATGCATTCCCACAGCTGAGATCATCGGCAGCTTGTCGAGATGCCCTCAATATTGCATCCTCAACTCCACTTGGAGAATGTGGCCCGATGTTTTGCAGGCTTCACCGGCGATGTTGGCTAATTAATAATCCCGACACGCTCCGGCTCGAACACATAAACAGAATCTGGGGGAAATCTTGGCAGGGGGTGGGGATAGACAGGGGCCAACACAGGCGAGGCTACTTTGTCTTTGTCGCCTAAATGGCAGGCAAAATGTTTGCCGAACATAAATTAATGTCGTCCCCCAAAGCTGGCGCTTAAGTTCGTGTGTTCGTTTTAGCCTGCAATCCGTGTACTAGACTCTATAAAAAAAAGTGAAGTAAAGTTAAGTCTCTCCTCCTCCAACCTCTTTGGAAAAGTTGCAGCAGCAATTTACACTTTTCATTCAGCAGCCAAATCGTTGGAATGGTTGCGGTGCTGTGTGTGGACCTGGCCTAAACAATTTTCATGTCTGCTTAAATTATTGACTACTTAGTGCCCGGTTTAGCAATGCCTAATAAATATTTATGAGCGCACTTCATTTTAGTCAATCTTCAATGGACAAGCAAAACGCAGTTCTATGAATGGATCGATGTTCATGACTGCAATCGGAGATTTCGCTGAACATTAAAGGAGGAGCTTGAGATCTCAAAAGGCTCGAAAAGGGAGCTGCTTTGGCCAAATTAAGAAATTATGTTCGATCAATGAAAAAGTTAATTTATTGACTTAAATTTAACAGGAAAGTGTTGAACATCTTTAATTCATATTTTAAACGTTTTTTTTAAATAAATTAAAGCTTCCTGAGCTTACTCATTGATCATTGTAAATGTTATTGGCTTGCACAATCTATTATTTTTAGCACATTTAGTAAAACTACTAACCCCTCTCTACAGCTATTTATTAATGCCCTCTCATTGGTTGGACTCTACAAAAATAAAACATAAAAAACAAACTAAATCAACATCTCGGAATCAGCGAGTTGCTCGCACTCATTAGCAACTTTTATTAACCAAAAGTGTCAAATGTTTTATCTCGGGTTTGGATTGGCCCAAACCGAGTTGCCTTTAAAGCGTCGTTAGGCATTTCATTTTATTTATTTTTTTTTTCTGTGTTTTTGCCAATTTTATTGGTTGTCCGACTCGTTTTTGTGGGTTGCGTTTTTAGCATTGTGAGCATGTTAACATTTGTGTTATTGATTTTTTACAACATTTGACAGTTACGCAGACTCCGGACTCCGCGATTGGAATTTCGCTTCGAATTCGGGGCGCATGACAAACGATTTAGAGCAATTTGACTTTCGATCGGTGATTGGTTAATCAAATCTGAGTTCATTAAATTGCCATTTTAACATTTAATTGCATATACTCCGAACGACGGACAGAGACCTGACAGCTCTGAGTAATATTATATCTTAAACGACTTATAAAATGCTCGAAAATACATCAATTTATTTTTGTAACCACAATCTTGTGGTTTTACTGTTTTTCCTATATTATTATTATATATCTTCTGGTTTTTGTATTGTGGCCAAGTCAGCACGAATGGGAATGAGAAAATGTGAAATTAGTAGACGTTGAAAAAACGCCTCTGTTTGACATCGTTTCCAATTGGAAATTTACACCACCCTCAGGTGTTACAGGTGGCAAACATCGTTCAGATCATTAACTGTTGATTTTGCACTTTTGCAGCCACCAATTTGCGTCATTCAAAGCGAACGAATGAGCAGTGCTTATGGGGTTAAAGGGAGGGGCAAGGTGCCGGCCTACAGGTGCTTTTCGCCAGTTAATTGCATTTTATCGAAAGGTATTGCGGTATCGGATATGATATGATCTTGTTCTACATCCTTATAACAACTGTGCTAACAGTTTGTAAAAGAGTTTCGGCTTTAGAAGTGATATTCATTTATAGATTACAAAATTAAAAAATTAAAGGTTAAAAAAAAAAAAAAATTTTTAATTACAAAACTAAAATAAAAGAAAATAAAATATTTCATTTTTTAAATCATTTTTTAATTTTAAATATTAATATAATTTTTTTATTCATGACAAATTTAAGTATGTCTCATAAAATAATCATAAATATATGACGTAAAAATTATTATAAATAAACTAAAACTTATCATCAAATGATTTGTAATGGAAATAATATTGTTATTACTACTAATAATTACTACTAAATAGTAATAAGATTCGATCATTTTGAATGGCTTACACATACTCACATAAAAGTTATTATATTCTCAGTTCTAAACTGAATCATCTATGGTTAAAAACCCACCATAAATAAGCAATTTCATGGTGAACTGTGCAAAATCGGTTGATATACTTTATCAGCAAAACGAATTCAAGGTTCTAAAATATATATAACTTTATTTGTTAATATCAAACTTTTCTACTTAATAATTCGAAACAAATGTTTACCTAACAAATTCCACATGTTCCACCCAAGAAGAACTCTCAGATTTCCCATTCAAAACTTTGAAATACAACACCCCCATATGATCGCTGCTGTGGCATTATTTTCGCTTTTCGCTTTAAAATCGTAATCATTTTCGCCCCGAATAGACCAGCCAAATCAAAGTGTCCAACGCCTTTGTCAATAAACATTTGTCGTTCCACTAATTGCCAACGTATTTTCGCCGCTCGACAAACAAACAAACAAACACACTTAAAAAACGAAGCAAAAAAAAAAAAGAGAAATAAAAACTGAAATCATTTATGGCAAAGTCAATTGCGCTATTGCCATCTCTTTCGCTGATGTGGGTGGAAGCATTACGTTGATTATCCAGCACAAAAACAAACAACAACAAAAAAAGCAACATTAAACACACACACATTCACATTAACCGAACATGCACACAAGACAACAAAATTTAATTAAATTAAAATTGCTGTTGGCCCGTTTCGCCTTCAGCTGTTGCTACTTTATTCCGGTTAAAAATAAGGCCGTTCAACTCTAGGGTTTTTATTTAACCATTATTGATATCAATTTTAAAATTTATCCATTTTATTAACATGGAATTGTCATTAAGAAACTTTTTGCATTTATTTATTTTTTTAGTTTGTTTTTTATTTGCCAAGGGATTTATGTCAAGGGATTTATTTTTAAATATTTGTTGTACTTTTTTGTAGTTTTTATTTGTTTGTGGGACTTGTCATATTTTAAATATTATTGATTTAACTTAAATATTTAATTATTATCAATTATTAATTACATTGTAACTTTGTAAACATCTTTAGGCATCTTTTTTATCATAATTTTATAGGTTTTTGTGATAATTTGTATATTTTACGTATTGGTTTAAACTTGAATATGCACTTAATTCAAGTTTAAACTTTTATTTTTATAGATCATTTGTTTATAATTCAAATAGAGTTGGTGATATTAAATTGTATTATAATCTTATCCATTTAACGTTTACAAACTTTATTAATTTTTGCAAATATTTCTTAATCACCTATTATCTCATTATAAACACACTATATATTACTAAATATCTTCACATTTATTTAGCACTAACACTCCTTTTATCGGCTTATCACATATTTAGCAATGGATCGCATTGATACGGATGTTTATCTTTGATTGTCGGATGCGCAATTTGTGCTGATAATGATAATGGCCCATTTGTTATTATCTTTTTTCAATTTTAGTTTACGATGAGCGAATAATAAGGGAGAACTGTTAAATTCCGGCTGAGCGGCATGGAAATTACTCAATTACTTATGCGGGGCGCGTTCTGTTTGGAAATGGAATCGGAATCAGGTTGCTAAGCATTCACGGTCAGCTTTTGTCAGTTGAAGGTTTTTCTTTTTTTTTTTAATAATCACCGGAAGGAAGTCACAAATAGGTTTTATTTTTACTTTTATTTTTTACCAACAAATAAAAACTAACCGTTTAGAAGATAGAAGAAATTTAAGCAGCTTGGCCGATAAACGCTGCCGCGAAAACGTTCCGAACTCGGCGAAGGCTAAACATGAATTGAACTGAAGTTGAAAAAACAGAAAGCCAAATTGAAAATCCAAAAGAACCGCCTTATCGATAACAAAAACAGTAAAGCTATCGACCCTATATCACCTTTAAGGGTGACCTTATTTTTCATTTTAAATTTTTCCCTTGATTAGCTGTGGCAACACTGCTCATTATTTTTCTGTGTTTTGGTGTGGCTACATTGTTTTTTGGCTCGCAATTGTTTACATTTATTTTTTGCATATATCTGCAAATTTCTGTCATTACTCGACATGGCCGAAGATCCGGAGAATTCAGTAGACAGGCCCAATGACGATGGAGATGCTGGGAAGCCGGAAAAGATGTTCACTTTGAAGAAATGGAATGCAGTTGCAATGTGGAGTTGGGATGTCGAATGCGATATTTGTGCAATTTGCCGCGTTCAAGTTATGGGTGAGCTTATAATTACTATATGTTAAGGTTTAAATACTTCTTAATAACCAAAATATATCCCTACATATGTATAAAGTATAAGTTTTCCCTTAGGCAGAAACTTCACTTTGCTTTGGAAATGCAAAATCCATAAAGACAAAGGGAAAGGTAAACCAAAGCAATCAGCAGTTTATACCCTTTTAAAGAGTTTAACAACTTTTAGAAGAAGTTTGTTACTTTTTAGGAAAACAATTTTTAAGAGTGGATATATGTGTATTAAAAAAACAGAATAATTCATCCCTCTAAACTAACTCTAGATATTAACGTAATAGAAGTCTCTGTAGAACTTCCAGTTTGTTTGAAATATTTTTAAAATTCAAAGCAAATTTTAATTCAACGGTCACTTTTTAAATAATTAGAATCAATAATATTAACAATTAACTCTTTTGAAAAATTATTTTTCTTAAATAAACCTTTCTATTTAGTTTTGTATTAGTTTTATGTACCAAACCGTAACTATTATCAACTATCCTCTGCAATTGTTTGTTTAATTGAGAATAAATATATACTTACGGTTTTTGAGCTGCTTAATTGTAATATTTAGCTCTGTGTTAAAATTTAAACTAAACCAGTTGATAGAAAGAGTTTTAAAACTATCAGATTCTTGGAAGTTTGACAAAAACATTTTTAAAACTCTAAGATTGAAGTCCTTGAGTAAATAAAAATATTATTGCTGAATTAAGGATATATAGTTATATCGTACTTTAAATTGCAGAGCTAGTAAACTCAAATTGTATTTTAAATATATTATTAAAAGTTAAGAAAAAATAGGTAGAATAAGTTAAAGGGTCTAACAGATATTGCAGTTAATTCAGGAACTAGACACCTTCATTTTTTTAACGATAGTTTGAATGATTTAAGCATCCCAATATTTCATTTGCGCCAGAAAGTTGTTTTATATTCCGTCATCAGAATCCATTAAGCAAGTCATTTGCGTCATTAGAAGGAACGTATTGAAAGTTGACCCAATTTAGATGACATCTCCCCAACATTTATTTTAAAACCTATTTTAATACTGCAAAATCAGATAGTAACAGGAATGGCTAAGCATCTGATTGCCTTACCAATACTATCTCTTATCTATGAATATACTTAGTATGCATACTACATAGTATAACTCCTGTAAGTAAACATTTTCTAGAATGATTATCACATCATAGTACAGCCGTTGTACGGATGCATCTTTCGCAATTGTTTATTCGATTTTGAGCTCGCTTAATTGCTAACCGATAAGAATTCGATTCGAACCTGAACCGATGCGATCTGATGTGAGGACCATGTAATGCTCCTCCTTATCAAGGCGATTTGGTTGAGAGTGTCAGAGCCAGAGCAGCTTGATTTTTGCAACGATTGCCAGGGCAAATGCGTTTCTATTTTTGCACTTTCATGTGCCTCTGGAATGGCCATCTAGACATTCATATATTTATATATATACAAACATATATATTTAGACCCAAGTGCGGGGACACTGTATTCGAAATGAAACTCACGTATCTGAGGCGCTGACATTGTTCGAAACTGTAAACCGCATTCTGAAGGTCGTATGCAAAGCGATTTTCCCACTCAATTGTAGCAAAATTTTTCGGACGAAAGTAAACGTAAATTGGATTTGGTTTGATTTGTATTTTTTTTTAAATTAGTCTACATATAGATACACTTACAGCTTATGTATAGTATAATATATATATATATTCGATATATAGCCAATTGGTGTATTTTTTTCAGGGAGATTTTGGTGTCTTTAGGGTATTGTTTGTTGGGACTAAAACTAACTACGAATCATGTCATTTTGTTTGTACACCGATAAATTCACGCAACATTCATCAAAATGTCAACAAATTAGTGCTAAAAATCATAATTTACATAATAAAACTATGCACTTAATGATTATAAATAATAATAATAACAATTATGCGTGTAGAAAGGAAATTCTTTTTGCTAAGCATTACAAGTTAGCTAGGACTAACAATATCAGAGCGCCTGGATGGTTGGATGGATGGTGTCCACCAGGATCCACTCCACTGCGTTGTTACATACATGCACACACATACAAAGGTTTCTTAAGCACTAAAGGCACTAGTCTAGTATTTGGTTTGATCGCATATTCAAATCCTTTTTGGCAACACGTCGTTTACATGTTGAAGGACAATGGCTTAATATTGGCCACCGAGGACATGCGCCGCACACGGCCCATCATTTTACGCTCAATGTCCTCCAGCGTCTTGCCCTGCGTCTCGGGCACATAGAATATCACAAAGAACAGGCCAACAAAGCAAATGGCACCGAATAGCCAGAAGGCTCCATGGGCTCCCATAACAGCTGCACAGTGATAAGAGGAAAAGTTATTAATACATTCAATTTTTCTAGTTTAGCTTTTTCAACATACCCATGAGGTCCTTGAAGGTCTTGGTCACCAAAAATGTGCAGGACCAGTTGAAGGCCGTGGCCACTGAGGCAGCCGAGCCGCGAATCTTGGCCGGTAGAATCTCGCCCATCATTAGCCAGGGAATGGGTCCGAAACCCAGAGAGAAGCCCAGGATGTAAATGACGAAACAGGTCAATGGTAACCATCCCAAATGGGTTACATCGGGACCATAGGTCTTGCAGTAAAAGAAACCGCCCAGCACGAACAAAGTCAAGATCATGGCAATGTTGGAAACATACAAAAGAATCTGAAAGAAAACATTAGAAAATTAGTAAAGAATTAATTTCTTTTATAAGATTATCTAAACCCACCTTTCTACCTGCCCGATCAATCAAAACGATGCCGATAAATGTGGCCAAAAAGTTAACTATACCGACAATAATCGTGCAGATATTGCCATCGATGGTGGATCCAGCATCCTGAAAGATCTGTACCGTGTAGAAGATGACCGCATTGATACCGCTCAACTGCTGGAAGAACATCAAACCCAAAGATATCGACAGAGGCTTCAAATTGTTGCGTTTCAACAGCTCCATCATTGGATTCTGTATAGCCTGACGTTCGGCATCGGCCTGGGAACGCATCAAACCCTTCAGTTCCGGCTCCACATCGGCCTCCTTGCCACGCAGCCATGACAACGCCTTCCTGGCACGCTCCTCCCGTCCACGGCTCACAAACCAGCGTGGCGTTTCCGGGATCATGAACATCAGTATGAGGAAGGGAACCGGTAGAGCTGCTCCCAAAAAGGCCAGCATTGACCAGTCCATATACGTGCCAGCGACGAAGCATAGTAGGATTCCAATGTTACCAAAAGCCGTGGGCAGCAGACCCAAAGTGCCACGCACCTCTGGCTGCACAGTTTCACCCAGATACACGGGCAGGGATAAGGAGGCAATGCCCACACAGAATCCAGCCAAGAATCGTCCACACAAAACCATTGCCACATTGACCGCACAAGCAATTAGCAGCGATGAGAAAATGAATGGTACCGCCGTGGCCAGGATCGTGTTACGCCTGCCCAGACATTCAATTAATGGACCACCGGCAATGCCACCAGCCAATCCAGCCAGAGGCATAATGCCACCAACCCAGGAACTCTGCAATTAGATAGAAATTTTAAGTAATTAGATGGGTTTTTTAACTATTTCGAAATGAGATTGTTCTTTTCTTTTAAGACTAAAAAGTAGAACTTTTAAAAATTATTATTGTCTTAGTTTGATGTACTTACAGCATCTTCGGTGACCTCAAACGAGGTGATATTCCTGTCGGTCATCGACACAAGAGCAGGGGAAGTATAAGCACTGACAAAACCGACCACCAGAGAGCCCAACGAGACGCTCAAGGCAGCCAGGACCTGAAAATATACCAAATTAAAATTCAAGTTAGCAAAGTTTGTCTTTTTTCATAAGAAAATTAATGGAGATTTCATGAAAAACAGGCACCTGAGAAAAGGTACAAATAGCCTTGGGCTCCTCGGCGGGCACTGAGAAGGACACATGGGTGTCCGCTCGCATTAGGATCCTCATCCCGCAGCTGTTGTATCTCAAGCTCTAGAACTCGGAACTAAAAACCGTTTTTGGCTTGCAACGAGGTTGCGGATATAGTTTTGGCTTGGTTTTGCCTTTCACTTTGCTCCTTGGAATAGAATGGAATGCTTTCGGCGCGTTCGCTCGTCAAAACTCAACTGAAACTTGTCATTTCGTTAGAGTGCAGCGGCAGTTGCATATTTTTGCTAGTTTTCAATTTAGTTTTTTTTTTTTTTGAGAACAGTTTTTGCCGTGATTTTATGAGGCTGAGGCACGTACACGACGCCACCGAATGCTGATCGATATCGCTTATTTGAGAGACAGAGAGAAAGGAGGGATTCTGTTCCCAGGCGATTGATCAAGACCTAGCTTATCAGTTTGTTTTCCTGCGACAAAGACAAAGGCTGATAGGTAATGCCGGATTTTTGAAAAGCGGTTTGAGGCTGTTTTCAGCGAACGTCGACAGTTCGAATGCAAACTGCAACTGCCAAAGCAAATCGGCAGAAAATGTTTGCAGGTTCAACTGTCAGAGTTTTTCCTTTAACCTCCTCAACTCTTCACACATTACAGTTCTATTCGAAGCCAATCGGATCTGATCCATCCATCAGACAGCTAGCGATATTTTTAGTCCGGCCATAACTAAATGCGTTAATTTCAATTAAGGCAAGAGCGACTCAGACTCAAACGGCAACGGGCGTCGGGCATCGTGCGAAAATAGCTCAAATGGCCGACACGCTTGTAGCTCAATCTGGAGGCCCCTTAAATTGCTCAACGAGTGCTTTATGGTCGCATTAATGCCATTCATAATCTCGGGACCCGGGAGGCGCCAACGAGCTTAACGAGCGGACAATACATGTCCTCCACCGCCCCACGGATTTCGCTATACCCTAGCCGGAGGGTTACACTCGGACAAATTGAGATCTATGTTGTTGAAGTTAAAGTAAATCGGTTTTAAAGTTAAAAACTGCAGATGACTCACATATTTTCTATAAATTAAAACCTTTTAAAGTTCTTAAATTTTAGTTTTTTAGTTAAGATTTTTTAACCTCTCTTTAAATTTTTTCAAAAATGAGTAATAAAACCAATATTTTTTCTCTAAGTGCACATCTATTTGACCCACCTGTGTCCATATAAAGATGGGATTCGTTGTGGGACGATAGACCTCCAGCTTGGGCTTGCCATCCTCGGTTATCTGGCGCACGAAGGGCACCGCATGACGGATGTTCTCGCCACGTTTGTTACCCATCTCGTCCATCTCGTAAAGTCGCCGGCTGCGGGGTAGACAGAGAGAGAGAAAAGGTTACAAAATTGCGTGTCAGTTGTGGATTGGAAGGTTGCCGCCTGCCTTTGCTAGTCATTTATTGTCCGGCTCATTGCGTAGGCGCGTGTACAGCGGTTTAGCCAGAGCCGGAGATACTATAAGATCGCTCAAAATAGTTCAAGCTGCGTCAGGGGATCCCAATTTGTATGCCACTTGGTTTAAATTAATCAACGAAAGTGCGCAAATAGCTTGAAAGCAATCTTGGTCATGCAAAGATCTAACTATTCAATTATACAGATTGTACTACTATATACTATGATCTTTATTTGGTAGCTTACTATGAAACCATGTTTATTCTGAGATCTATTTGATGGGAATAGTTCAATAGTTGCTCTAGTTAAATGCTCAAAAACAAATAAACAAGTTTTAATCTTTATAAAAACAAATTTAATTTAAAGATTTCAAAGTTTTTGTGTGAAAAGAATGAGCAAATCGCCTTTGATGATCTTTCTTGGAACTTTGAGAACTTATCAGTTCCTGGTAATATTTGATTAATGACGGGTTTTCTGATGTTCCAGTTACTAAAAGTGACAATGCAAGTCATTAACTGATAAGCTGATATCCAAAGTTGATAGCTTTTGAGCTTTTATTATTGTTGCCATGAGCACAGACTATACTGCATTAATGTTAATTTCATTCAGATTTAGCTATATTGCAAAGTCCAAAAACGCCAAAGCGTGTTGCAGATAACCCCTGTCATTGACCTCTAGGGGGTTTCCATTTCAAACCTACTTTCCCTTCTTTGAACTTGGAAGTATCTCGAGTATCTTATATCTTTGACATTAATCACATATCATCTAGACACTCACCTCTTGCGGGAATCTGTGCTGATGGAACGCTGCTGCTGGAAGTGCTGACGCGATGTTAGGAAGTCCTCGTCACTTTCGCTCTCCAGATCTTTGAGATCGATGATCACCGGCTTGGTAATGTCCTTGGGGCGATGGATCAGGCGTTTGTGTTCGGCGTCTTCGCCTTCCTCATCACTGTCAGTACTCGAGCCCTGGAGAACTTTGTCAAGCTTGAAGGTGACACGTGGATCCAAACTCTGATGTTTGCGTCCCTGGAACTCGCGTCGTGTCTTATGGAATTCCTCTTCCGAAGATGATTCCTTTAGTAGATCCTGAAGAAATCGTGTGCCCTTGACGTCCAAGGAGACGTGCTTCTTGGCCTGAAACTGGCGACGATTGTCGTTGGCCAAAATGTGCTTCAGGTCCTTCAAAATACCCTTATGATCGACACTGGTTGCCTTCTGTTGCTGGAAACCAGATCGTTTCTCCTCGAAACTATCCTCGTCACTGCTCTCGGCCGCTTTGGTATTGCTGGTATTATTATTGCTGTTACCAGTATCCCTGCGCTCGAAGGACACACGTGATCCCTTCAAGCTTTGCTTGCTGCGCTGCAGTTCCTCAGTACCCTGGCCACCTCTTTGCTGGCGATCGCGATGCTCACGAATCTCCAAAGATGTGGGCGGTGGTGGCAAAGGTGTTAATTCCAAACTACCACTGGCACGCAGTGGTGTCCTATGTTGCTGTTGCTGGGTGGGTGGTTCGTTGATGTCGTCGTCCTCCAATAATGGCCGAAACGATAGCGGTGGTTCGTCCTCCAGCAAACGCTGTGTCCTCACGGTCTGTGGATGCCTTTGCGGTGACACTTGTGGGAATAGAAACGGATCCTCCGGGAGTATTGTGTCCAAACTGGTTGCTGTATTCGATGTCGAAAGATTGCTTTCCACGCGATGATAGCCCAGCTCGTCCTAGAATCGATTCGAATCGAATGAAAGTCGCGAATTAATTAAATTGAAACATAAGCATGGCATAAAGATGAAGCCTCTCCATCATCCCCATCATCAAGAAACCGCTCTGAACCGCCCGAAAAATATTGCGTTTAAATCGGCAGATCTGTTCTTGAACACCCAATCGCAAAGGTTCACAGAGGTCCAGCATTATCGGTCATGTGCGCAGTTGGTGCTGCTCTTCTAAAGAACTTTTCTTTTGGTTTTTAATAGAAATATTTAATTACCCTTAGTAAAACTTATTTAATGGCTTAGCACTTAACACATTTGCGTTGTTAGGCTAATTTTGGCTTAATTGAAGTCAAGTTACCCTATTAAAAAATATTGTATATTTTGAGTTTGAAAGTCACAGCAAATGATTTTTCTACCTATCTTGATTAAAAGTTCTTACAAAGTCTAGTTAATCGAATGGTTAGATAATCCCAGAAATAAATAGATAATAAAACTCAAATTGTTAGTGATTTCTATTAACTTTCCACATTAAGAGTTAATCTTTATCCACCATGCAAAACCTAACATAATCGCTATTTCCAGCTTACAGAATAAATCTCTTCTTTTCCTTGATAATCAATTTATGGTTTTTGAAATCCATGCTCCATCTTGACTACCCCAATATGGTTTGTTTTGAGATACTTACACCTACTCGTGTTAGTTTTTCCTTGAGCTTGCCCATGGCGCTGCTCAGCGGTTGATGACCGCCGCCTCCGCCGCCACCGGCTCCTCTGTTGTCGCGTCCACTCATCTTATCAGCTCAATAGCTTTATAGGTGAACTTGAACTAGTGCGTTTTCCTTGGTTAACTTTGTTTTTGTCTCAGATTTTCACTTGTTTTGGTGTCTTTCACTTGACTAAGTAAACAATGTATTCCTTTTCTTGATTAAAATGATTTCTTTTTGTCTTTGCTGGAAGGAAAGAAAGGAAAAAGTTAAATATTAGATATTTAAATGCTCCATTTAAGTTATATAATATTTGGTAAGTTAAACTATTAGCTTATAGGTTTGATTATGGATTTTAGTAAAGTGCCATTTATCAGTTTGAACTGATGTCTGACCAAATGATAGTGATAATAATTAACTAGTTTTATATATATGCATATATACATTTTCCATAACTATCACTACTAAATGCAATGGTCTGATGTCTGTAAAAAATCACACAAAGCTTAAAAATAGTTCAGCACTTGAAAAGATATAGATAAATGCACTATATCAGCTGTAGCTTGTCTACTTAAAATCGTCTGATGTCTGCCCTGTTATCGCCGAAGAATTTATGGGGTTGGGTTTTGTTAGATAACATTCGAGCCCCCGTTAGCACTCAACACACACCCACTTTTTGGTCTCTAATGTGTTAGATGTCCTTGATTTCCACATGTGACCAACTTTATAGCACTGTTTTTCCTCAATCTATAGTTGTTTTTATTTACTTTTCACGCAAATTTGTGTGTTTTGTGTTTTTTTTTCACCCGGCATCGTCGAATTTATTTATGACCTTTTGAAATTTGGCATGCGGCAGTTCGGTAAAAAATATATATAAATATAAAACGTATTTCAAAAATTTTCCACCCACTTTCCTATATACACACATATTAGCTGATTAATGACCGCAACGCGGGAAAAAAGGGAAATATTTTCATTTGATTGGTTTTGTCAAATTTCATTTTTTTCATTTGTATTTATTTTGACTTTTTACTTTGCGTCATGTGATGCCTGGGAAAATGTGTGGGCGCCATGACGTCGAAGATTTGTCTTAGCGTTTTTTTTTTTTTTTTTTGGTCACTGCTTTTTCTCCCGGGCCTCCTCCTACTTTTCTTATTCTATTACTGCGAATGTGGGCGGTGGTTTTTTTATTTTTGCTTTTCTATTCTTTATTTGGATTTCCGTGCAAATATCTGCAGGCGTGACATAATGCTAGATATAGATCTTGAGTGTGGGGGCGTAACCGCCCTCTGGAAAGTTTAAATGCTGCTGAAGAGAAAACTGTTTGATTTTGTAATAAAGTATTAAAAATTGAAAGTAAAAATTATGATTATTTTAATTACATTTCTTCGTTCTACATATAAAATATTTCTTTATATAATTTGTGATTTTATTCATCGTAATTTATATTTTATCAAAAATAATATCCAAAAGATAAGATATAACGAAAGTATTATATCATAAACAAAACTAAAAACTTTCTATGTGAGTATTTCTCTAAAAATAGTTATTTTTAATAGTCAAAATAATATTTTCACTGGGCGTGACGCCTTTTTAGTTAACCATTAATTGGTTAATGAACGTGTTGCGCTTTTCGCTAGCCTGAAAATGAAACGCAATTACAACGCCAGTGTTTATATGCAAATTCTTGGGCAAAAGGCGCTAAAAGTTGCCATTGACCTTGAAGGCCGCCGCCTTAGCCGCCTGCTAGCGTGTGGGCGGGATAGTCTGGGCGCAGTGACACATATTTTTGGGGGCTTGCGAGGCGAAAGAGATCGCAGCACGTTTCGCTCACCCATTGCTAACCGCTCTCTTAAGCCCTGGTTATGTTAAAACCTCTCTTTAACCAGCTGTCTCATGCTCTCTTAATAAATCAACTCACGTGCCGAATGAACCCCGCTCTCACACACACACACATACGGCAACAGCCTAAAACCCACACAGGTGCGAAGACTACGTCAACAGTGCAACGTTGCGATTTTGTATATATTTTGTATATCGTATTCGTCATGATCTGGCGATCTTGCGGGCGTTTTATTTTTAAAAAACGTTTTTCATGCTGACAGCAGATTAACACAACCTTTAATCGAAATTTCAAATTAACAAAAGGCAGCCGCCAGACGAGTATTATAAGTAAATTCGCTTCAATTAGCGCTAAAAATGAACGCCCACACTTTGAATTTGATATTACAAATTTTGTCTTTTCTTTTGCAACATTTGTTTTCACTATTTTGCGCGCCACTCTCACAAATATTCACCAAAATATTTTTGTAAGAGTGCAAAACACCAAGTGTTCTTGTCTAAAATTAAGAATTTTCACGGTCGCCAATCTCTCTCTCTGAAGGAGAAAAAAAAATGACTTTTCTCGACTTTTCTTTCGTTATTTCCTCGAAAATTGCATTTTACCCTTGGCAAATAGTTTTTGTCATTTCTTTTCTCGTTTGTTGTTGCTGTTGCTCTTTTACAACATTTTTTCGCACATTACGTAAAATAGTTTGCAGTCCTCAGCGGTTTCATTCAAATTTTGGTTCATAAATATTTCTTAGTTTGACGTAGTATATGCAAAAATGCGCATAAATTGGCAAGTTTTTTCTTTCGTTTTGTTTTTTATTTATATGCCAGACGGCACAGAGACTGTTTCGTTTTTTATCTTTTTATTTATTTAAGTTGCTTTTTTTTTTTGAAGTTTCTTAAGAAACGCGATAAGTTGGCGACCGGAACTTGTGAGCGAAACTAAACTATTAATAACCAACTGGAATGTAACACTGTGTTTTTTTCCGATTTTAAAATGTTTTTATTATTTGCTTTTAGTTTTATATATAAATATGTATTTTTGCGGTGATTTATTTGTTTGGTTTTTTTGGTTTTTTACCTTTGGAACAAACTACTAAATGTGATATCCACTATTGTGGCACTGAAGTTCGAGATTCGAATGCGCAACGTTTATATAGCGCACACCGATTTCGTTGCGGAAGAAGAAGAGTTATTTGCTCGAGCTTTTTGTTGTTCCCCAACGGTAAAACAGGCGCTCTCTTCGACCGCTCTCGCTCATTACTTGCTGGTATGGGTGAGTTGGAGAGAGAGTTGGTTTTTAGTGAGAGACAGCCATCGAACGAAGGTCGAAAAGAAGGCATGAATGAATGGGGCCCGTCTGACTGTGTGTGTGCGTGTGTGGGACGCCTCCTAGTTGTAGGTGCCCATCATAGTTGTTGGTGTTTTTTTAGCTGTTGTTGCTCCTGGCATTTGGAGGCTGCGAGAGAGTATGACGCGTGTTCTTAAAGAGAAGTCGCGACTAGCGACATAGTGGCACCATCCAAAACCCATTTTTATACTCTTTACGCGGAAAGGGTTTCTTGGCTTTATAATCGAGGCTAAAGAAATTATGGTTGAAGTTATAGATTTAACAATAAAGATATCTTTATTACAAAAAACTTTGTTTTTTAATTGGCTATTCACTTCCCACTTTTCATATTGATTAATTGGAATTATTAGCAACAAGTTTGATTTTCATGGATATTCTATCTTTTAAATTTCACAACTAAGCGCCAAAAGTTATGCAATAGCTTAGGCTTCTGAGGTGCAGTGATATATAATGACTGGTTCATTTAGTGTTTTATTTTTCATACTTAAAGGCAACCAAAAAATCTTGCAGAACTTAATTTCAAGAATAGGTTATCATCTTAGTCGGAATTTTATATTGCCGTTCTCCATATGTCATATACGAGTAAAATACAAAGGGAACTTAGAGTAAACTTATTAATCATACTTCTTATTAAAACTGCAATCATAACTTATAATCTCTTTAGCAGAAAACAAAAGTGTTATGGTTAAGGAATAAGCTTGATTAAAGCCTAATCAAGATAATGATATAAGTAAGAGTATTGCCAATCCTAAGTACTTTTGACACTGAAAATACTTTTAAGATTGTTTATCTATACAAGAAAGGAATATTATGTACGTCAAGGTCCATCAAATACTAAGAAAACTATAAAGCTGAAAACTAATAAACAAATTTTTAAACATCTTGCTTTTGGTTAGGATAACCTCTCAGTCGGTGCACTGTCCTTTTCCTTTTACTTTAATATTTTTATTGATTTGTTTTGGCCTACGTGGTTATAGTTATGGTTATGCTATATGCTCAATGACCAATTGCTGCGGCGTGGATGCTGAGAGTTCCTCGGCGGTGGCATTGTGTGAGTGGGCCTTCCAATTGATTTTTATTTACACACATATTTTCAATTGATTGTTATTAAATTGACTTTGAGGCGCGTGCAAATTTCTGGAAGCCTTGGGAAACATTTTGCGTGTGACTCCTTGTGTGCCCAGCAGTCCGATGTCAATATCAATTCATTCACTTTAGTTTTTTGGGGGCCTGACGCAAGTGCAACCAAAACAAAACGATGATGGATGATGATGCCATGATATGTTAGATAAATAAGCATTTGGCAAATAATTAACCATTCGACAAGTGCGTCGTGTTTCAGCATAGCTCTTCTCGATTATTTATTATTATTTTATTGGTTTATTTATTTCAATTTTTTTTGGTTTGGTTTGGTTTGGTTTTAAATAACAAACGCGCCCCCAAAAATGAAAAAAGACGCGGGGGGCTCGTCTCTCTATTTCATAACATGGCATAAACATTACGCGCAATGAGACGACACAATTTCCAAGTAAAAGGCGGGCCCGCCAGCCGGTTTTCGTTTATTTGCAGATGCAGATACAGATACAGATACGACTGAATAGCAAAAGATACGGATTACGAGGCAAGGTACGAAAAACTTGCTGGTGGTCATCAGGGGTCACCCTGACCGAAAGAAATACCTAGAATCGTATTTCAAGAAAATGATTTATTAAGTTATCTGCTTTTAAATAATCAGTGAGTTCTTTAAGATAAACTTGAACTTGAGTTGGTATAGTACCTTGTAGAATAACTTTGTGCTGTTTTTGGAGAGATCTTAAAAGAGGGTTCATTTTGGGATATAGAAATAATATGATATAAAGGTATTTTTAAGCATTTTTATGATGAAGTGATATCAATTATTAAAGAAAAGTTTTTAACAAATCTTTAAATTAAAAAGGTTCTCATTTGTTAAGCTGTGAGAAAAACCTTACCACTTTAAGCTATAAAATCAAAGAATCATAAAAAGCTTAACCCTGATTTGCTCCATTTTACTTTCAATCCGATTTTACCCTCCTAACATTATCAGTTTAGCCACTGTTAGTCACGAAGTAGATTAAAACTTATATCAAAAGCATTACCAAGCATTAAATTGTTAGCAAGCGATAACGTTTCTGCATTCTTTCAAACGAGCCCCTATTTCGTAATGGGAAACCCCTGCTGATCTGCGCCTCTGATCGAATATTTAACTGGCAATTAACGGAAAGTTTTTAATCACGATTCTTTGCAGCACGCGTATGATATTTCGGCATTTCCATTTCCACCATATCGACCGTCATTTGCCCTCGACTCGGAGTTACGATCAGTTTGTTTCGGAATATATCTTAATGTGTTTTTTTAATATATTTTTTTTTTTGGCATGACTCAAGGCTCAGTTGGAATCGAGGAAAAGTAATAACGCCAACAATAGTTAAAGCTCTCAAATTTTGATGAATGTTGTTGTTTCTCGATCTGTGGGAAGGTCAAGCAAAAAAATGTTTGAATACGAAACTTGATTGACAGGAATCGCGAAAGAGAAAGAAAGATCTTTTGGAAAGGGAAGGAAAGAGGGCAAAATGAGCTGGCGAAATAGGAATTTAAAGTGGTGAAAAAAAAAACGAAAGTGCAATGAACTTTAAAATAATTGCACATATTGAGGAGTACTGAAGGTTTGAATTTGGAACAACACTGTGAGAAAAAGTAGGTTTAGTTTTAAAATCAAAAAAAAAAAATTTTAAATTGCAATATTTACCGAATGTTTAAAAATTATTGTTTTTAAGAGCTTTGTACCCAGCAATATTATCACCATGATATTTATTTAGTAGGTGGTACTATCTATAAGTACAACACTTATTTAGATGATTCATTTTAGCATAATGAGGTGTTGGCATTAACTGGTGTTTCGTTTTCAAGGCTTTTAACTTATCTTTCGGAAGATAGGCCCAATCAGTTTTGTGTCCCCGGCACATGACGTAATTAACAGGGAGCTTTCACGTAATTACCGAACTGTACTCGCAAATCACAGACCCACTTCCTATTTTGGCTATTTTTAGTAGCTCCACCAGTCTAAAAAAAATAAGCGAAAACCGCAACAGAAATGCCGAAACAAGCGCAGAAAATGTCAAAAGAGACGAGCCCCCAGTTGCACGTACTCAATAGACAGAGATATCAATATATAAAAAGAAAGAGATAGGGTTAAATGCGGAGAGAGACAAGGAGGGGTAATGAGAGAGGTAGAGCACCTGGCAACAGAAGAAAAATATATAAGAGAAAACCCAAAGAGAGTGCATCAACCTATTAAATTTATGTGGCAGCGCAGGCGCGCGATTTTAAAGCTGATGCAATTGCGCATTTATTGCATCAGACTTTCTCATCGAGGGTCCACTGTAAAAATACAAATATGGAAAAAAAAAAAACTCTTGTACATGAGCGGAAATTTTCCAGGCGCTAATTAAAGAACTTCGACAAAGTCAAATTGAAACAAATGGCAAAAATCATTAAAAGCTTATTTATCTAATTGGTTTTGGAGTCACATCAATTTCAACCAAGAAAATAAAGAGAGCGGTCCAAAAGAGAGCTTCCCACACATACACGTGATACATTTTATTCTCCTCTCTTTTCTTTTCTTTTTTGGCAGCTAAATTTAGCGCTAAGATATCAAAATATGTAAATCGAAAAGAGACCAATAAGTTAAGTTAAGCATGTGATGTTGCCCCCTTGATCTTTTCCCTTATTTTCTTCGTCACGCGCTTAACCAAATAAAAAGTATTTCGTTGATATATACACAGAAAGAAAAAGGTGACTTACTATGAAGATCAATCGAATGATACATATTTTCTCTTAAAATATATGTTAGATGTTCTCTTTAAACTCTTTCCTTCAAATTCTAAACTATTTGCCATATAAAATTTTATATATAAACATATACCTATTCTATTTCAATTTTATTTCGACCTGATTTTTTCTGTGCATATATAAACTACATATATGTACGAGTATATTGCTGAATATTCAATTGGTAGAGTGTGCGTGGTGACGTTGCTGCTTTTGGCAAACCAGACGAGCCTCCAACTAATACCAAGAGAGAGCCCCTCAACCCACAAACACATTTATATATACAAACGAAGCTCCACATGGTGACTTTGCACTACTTCTAGCATTTTCCCAATCAGACTTTGACTTGCACTTCCCCATGTGTTTGCTGATTAGATCCGATTATGACGACTTTTTCGGACTGCAGGAATTTTTATAATCCTACCAAACGTACTTTAAACTTAGTCCAAGTAATTGATGCATCGACCCATACGATCGCTCGATCGATCGCTGCCCCCTACCCAAAAGCTTTGCCAAAAAAAGCTTTGCTCGTCAGCAGCTAATCATTAGAATTTGACTTTTGTTTTCTATTTATACGCGGCTAATTTTCAATGGGAAGTGCTTACCTAGTACAACAGCTAACACGTGTGCACATGAGACCTGTTTTAGTTGTATACCGAAAAAAACATTTGATATCAATAATGGTGTAGAAAAAATAGGTTAAATATTAATAATATTTTAAAGGGTTTTTAAAATATATTTCTTAATAAATATGATTACAAATTCAGGTCAAAAATGATATATATTTTTTAAATCAGATAAATTTGTTTAAAAATATATCAAAAATTCATTTTTAAAGTTATCAAAAGCAGATCAAAATATGACATATTGATCTTAAAATATCCAGTGCTAAGTAATATATTTTCCCTGTGTATTGACAGAGAAAACATGAGACAACGAGAG